GGCGGGACTAAGGGGAGGAAGGCACAATGCCCAGCACTTTCCGTTTCTGGATTCACGGGCTGAAACCCGGAGCACCTCACCAGCCTCACCGGGAAACGGGGACAAGCGTGAGCTTCCTGAGGAGCAAAACGAGGCGGCACGGTTTTCCCTACCGCGCGGGCGGCACAGTCACGGGCTCCAGGCACTCCACCACTGCGGCTGCCCCTGCTCGCGCCCTCCCTCCCCTCTCACAGGAAAGGTCCAGGAGTCCCGAAAATCAGGGAAAAGGGAAAATACAGCAACAGGCAAAGGATATGTCCATCAAGCTGATCATCTCCCTGAGAGTGTTGGGGTCGAATCCAAGGAATTTTACGTCTGCTTCTGAACATTCAAATGGAAAAGGGTGGGGATCCGGGTCTTTGAAGGCGGGAGAGAACCTCCCAGAGGAGGTGCGCTGCTCAGCAGCCCCTCAAGCTAACCCTGAGCTCCGGTCCCCTCCTCCGCCAGGGGGAGTAACAGCAATAATGATACTTGCCCCAGAGGCCAGCTGCGGATGAAGCGGACAATGTGAGTTCCTAGCGCAGCGCTTGGACATGGTTCGCTCCTAGCAGGACAGCTAACTCTGTAGGGGCGAGCCCCCACACCTCGTCCCCAGAATCGCCCCCCCGTGGTCGGAACTATCAGCATCCCCCTTTTGTAGACAAGGACACGAAGACCCAGAGAGCTTGAATAATTTGCCACCAGCAGGGGCGGGCAGGGTCTAAAGGCAGGCCCTGGAGGACAGCCCTGACACCTTGTTCACTGGCTGGCGCCTGCTTGGAGCTGCCTCCTTGGCCCCCACCTTACCTGGCCGCACCTGGAAGCCAAAGACCCTGCAGCCGTCCCCTCTTCTCTCACCCCTTCTCAGCAGACGCCAGGGTGGAGCAGAGAGTGGAGACCGTCCGGCCAGGGCCTGCGCCCCGCTCAGCCCCAGCCTGTCTCTCGAGGGCCCGAGGGCTCTCGCTGGGCCTTCTCCTCTTCCTCCAGCCCGTCCCCATCCCTGTCCCCATCCTCGTCCCTGTTCCCGACCCCATCCCTATCCTCGTCCCCATCCCCATCACCATCCCTGTCCCCATCTCTGTCCCTACCCCCATCCCCATCCCTGTCCCCATCCTCGTCCCTGTTCCCGACCCCATCCCTATCCTCATCCCCATCCCCGTCCCCACCCCATCCCCAACCTTGTCCCATCTCCATCCTTGTTCCCGACCCCATCCCCATCCCCGTCCCCATCTCTGTCCCCATCCCTGTCCCCATCCCCAACCTCGTCCCAGTCCCTGTCCCTAACCCGTCCCCCTGTCCATCCCCATCCTGGGCCAGACAAGAAGCCAGGATCTGGGAGTCGGAACCACAGCTCCATGGAATAGGCCCTCAATCTGCACTGTCCCACAGCATCAACCTGGTATGTCTGGGGAGACGTCACAGGTCAGGTCACCCTCAGCCCAGCTTTTCTTCCCAGGACCCCCCCAATCCTTCCTGCAGCATCACCCACGCCCCCCTGCTGGACACCCTCATGCCCCCAGGGTCTCCTTCTGCATCTGCATCTGCAGAGCTCATGACTCCAAGCCTGACCCCCACACGCACCCATCCCTCGCCCCCACCCCCCACACTTCACCTCTCTTAGGCTCCCACGAACTTTCTGGAAAGTTCCAAGGAAGAACTTACCTTTGGAAAAGGCCTCATTCAGAAGTGTCCTGAGTTCATGGACATCGATCTCAGAATCCTGGAAAGAGGAACCCAAATGTGAGTCACACCAGGTCCTGGCAAGTTTCCAGGGTCTGAGGCTGATGTAGACCAGACAGCACGTCCAAAGGCCCCAGGGCATCTTTAGAAACTCTAGTTCTCAGCTCCTCTGGGGTCCCCCACAGCCTGGCGGGAGTGTGGCGAAGGCGGGACCAGGAGCCACGCGCTCGCCGCCGAGCGTCCTTGTGACCTCAGAACGATGTGGCCTCCGTAATGGAGTAAGGACCTGTGGTTTTGTAAATTTGTGAACACCATATACACGCTCGATGGAATGTGTCATTCATGTGATGTTATTTCCGCAGGTTCACAGCCGCCAGGTGACAGAGCTGCGACTCGAAACCTAACACGGTCTCAGCCAAAGCACCCCCTCCTAAGGCGGCATCTCATGCAGGAGCCCCCCAAACTGGGTGTGGAGGTGTCAGGGAAGATTTCCGGAGTGCGCCAGAGGGAAGGTTTGCCCTTTAATCTCAGATGGGACAGGCCTTGGGCAGGACACAGGAGGTACGGAGAAGGGCGCGGGGCTGGGGTCTGGTTCCAAGTGACCCTGTGACCTCAGCCGCGTCTCCGCCCCTGTGCCTGTGGTTTCATCCTTTGACTGGCGGCCTCACCGCCCAGGCCCGGTGCAGCTCCCGGGATCCTGGTCTGAGCACCCAAATAAAGCAGAAATAGACTCATTTTTGTGAGACTTCTTCAACAGTGAAGGAACTGTGTGTGCAGTTTCATTTCCTGCAAAGGGTTCTGACATGTTTTTTTCTATTCCATTCTCTGTCCTGAACGTCCCCCGGGGTGGACAGTACTGTTTCTCCCCTTCTGTTAAGGACTGAACGTGTGTGTCCCCCAAACCCCTGTGTGGGAGGCTGAGCCCAGTGTGATGGTCTCAGGAAGGGGCGTGTGCGGGAGGTGACCAGGCCCCGAGCGAGGGTGGAGCCCCTGCGGTGGGATCAGAGCCCTTGCAAAGGGGCCCCAGAGCCCCCTGGCCCCTCTCTCCACCAGGAGAGCACGTGGGGAGGCTGTCTGCAGCCAGGAAGGGGGCTCAGCCCAGACTCCGGCCCCCTGCACCGGACCGCGGACGGCCAGTGCCCTGCACCCGACCTCGGACGTCAGGCCCCCTGCACCGGACCTCGGACGTCAGGTCCCCTGCACCGGACCTCGGACGGCCGGTCCCCTGCACCGGACATCGGACGGACGGCCCCTGCACCGGACCTCGGACGGACGGCCCCCTGCACTGGACATTGGACGGACGGCCCCTGCACTGGACCTCGGACGGACGGGCCCCTGCACCGGACCGCGGCCGGCCGGCCCCCTGCACCGGACCTCGGACAGCCGGCCCCCGGATCTGGGAGCAGTCAGGGTCTGTTGTTTAAGGGCTGTCCGCGGTGCTTGGTGCAGCAGCTGGAGCCGAGACACCATCCAAGGCCCTGGGGTACATTCCAGTATCCCCCAGAGAGCAGCGCATCCACTCTCCTTATGGGGCCACATGGCCCCACAGGCCTGGAACGTGATAAACCCAAGTCTGCACACAGCACAGGGCAGAAAGGGGCAGGGGCACCACTGGCACCAGAGCTGGTGTGAATGCCGCGGCTGAGCAGCGAGGGCGGCAGCCGGGGTAGGTGAAGCATACCGATTTAGGGACGTCTTGCTGCCCTACTTGTGGATTTTCTCTTTCCTGAAGGGTCCGTCGATGCAGGGAGACACGGCTTTGGGACCATCACTGTCCCCGCAACACAGGGAGGAGCCCAGAACTGAGACGGGAGGAGGCCGCGGAGAGAAGCTGGGCCCCTCACCCTTCGGCTCACGGAGACGCCAGGGGACAGAGACTGAAGCGGCCTGAGGTCTTGGCCACCCTCCTGCCCGTGGGGAGGGTGTGTTGGCCCCACTCACCTTCCCCGCAAGCTTCCCCAGCAGGCTCCCGAACTGGCCGTCCTCTTGGTCCACATCGCCGGGGTGCGGCTGACGGGAAGCACAGCACAGAGTTAGCGGGGGGTGGGGGGTCGCTGGGAGAACGAAGATTTCACATCCGTCACTCCCTGTTCCTACTGCACACCCACCACGTGCCGGTGTTGGCTCCGTGGGGCGCGGGGCGGCCTTGCCTCCCAGATGTGGGGAGGTGATCCCGCCAGACCTGAATTTCCAGTTTCAACCCATAATCGCTTTGGAGAAGGACAGAAGGACTGACCGCAGAGAATCTCCGTCTGGCCTGGGGGCCCCCAGGGGCCCCCCCAGAGACCTCCCAGGAGTCTGTGAACCCCAGAAACCACGTGAACATGTTGGGTAGTGTCCATGTGTGTTTTCCTAGCATTCCTCAGACTCTCAAATTGCCACAGGATTCGAAAGTAGTTGGGGTCACAGCCTAGTGGACGTAGCAGAAGTCGGAGCCAGAAGACAGGGTTCGGACACGGGATGGGCTGCGCGGCAGTTTGCCCCGGGCTCCTAGCACCCTCCCTACTCCCTCAGTCTGTGGTTAAATGACAAGGCTGCTCCCCGGCGCTCCTTCCAAAAGCAAACACCAGCTGATGGAGTCAAAGTCCCATCAAAGTTACAAACGTTACGTGATTGGGTCTGTCCAGGGACTTCTGGCCTGACGGGGGCCCCACTCCCAACGTCCCCACCGACAGACGGGAAGTCACACACTTTCCGGGAGGCTTCAGGAGTTCCCAGAAAGCCGAGTCCACGTTCTAAAACCATCACCCGGAGAAGCAGAAAAGGCCGGACGTGGCCCAGCGACACCGTACGGACGGGAGTAACAAGGACAGTGGCCATGCTCACCGTTGATGGGGGCTCACTACCCGCCAGGCACCTCACGGATTAATTCCCTTACTGCTCATGACTGTTCTGTGGTGTGGGTCCCACTGCGGACCACACGGCATACGCGCAGTTAACACCAGGACTGCACCTCTGGTCGGCTTTGGAGCCGCGGTCCGAGGTCCGAGCGGCAGCTCATGCGCTTCTCCGCCTTTAGCCAGAAAACCAGAGCACATGCTCTGGGGGCCAAACACGCCTGCAGCCCCGGGGCTGCCTCCTTGTCCGCAGTTGGGGGACAGCCATGCCTCCCTACCGCTTACACATGCAATGAGCAAATCTGAGAACACGTCTGAACTTTCCAGAAGAAAAATGATAAACGCTTGTCATCACACGTACGTGACTTTCAAGAGGTTTTGTAGAATAAACGGGTTACATTGTTCCCATCACACAATACATTGCACGCCGAAGTCTAGTGGGATGTCCACCGACTGCGGACGTGGGGGTAGATTCTATCATCCTTGGGGGGAGGGGGTTGTGAAATTACAAACCAAACAACAAAAGCCACAAAGCCAGGATACGGAAGCGGGCACACGCAGGTGGGCGGCAGGCACACTGCCACCAGGTGGGAGCACCGCACACAGATCACGGGAACAAGAGGCATTTGCGTGATGACGTATGTGGAACCTTGCAGTTTGCTTGTTCCTTTAAAGAGATTTTCTGGATGCCTGGCACATGGCAGGGGCCGTCCCTGCAATCTGTAAGTCCTGAGTCCCCCACAGACGTGACCCCCGTGTGCGTCTGTGTGCGTGTGTGGGGCCCTGGAATCCTGGGAATCTCATGCATCTCTGTGAACCTCGCACATCTCTGCAGGACCTCATGAGGGAAGGCTGGGCGCTAGGCTGGGGGCTCCTGGCTCACAAAGGGTCAGAGCCCCAAGCTCGTGCAGAAGCCCCCGGGCGACTCAGGAGCAGCAACCATGAGCTGAGACTGGGGCGTCCCAAGGAAGAGCGGTGAGCACCTGCAACAGGAAGAGTCTTCCCGTGAAACAGCAGGTGTTTCAGGAAACCCCGAGACCACGGGAGGGGGAAACAGGAGCCCCCGCAATGCCTGGGCTTGAACTCCTGGCAACCTGGTGCTATGGGAGCCTGGGGCCAGCCTTCCGTCAAGTTAACAGAAACCAAAAAGGAGCGGAAGGCTAGCTCCTACCACCCGAATTGCAGACTCAGACCCACGCCCTCCACTCGGGCACACGGGCCTTTCTGACCCCTGGGACAGCAGCAAGAGAGGCCGCTGTGAGAGAGGAGTCCACGAGGAGGCTGGGCCTCTCCCCCCGGCCCCGCGGCAGGGTGGGGGCGGGGCAGCTCCCTCACCAGGAGCCGCCAGCCTGGAAAGCACCGACGGTGCAGGCATCCCGCTGACCCGCGCAGGGGCGCTGCTGGGCACCGGCCGTCCAGGATCTGACTGGAATGCTCCACGCGGACAGTGGGAGCGGGCGATTCTGTCTCATGAGCTCGTGACGTAAGCCCCAGAGCTAACCTGAAGCTAAGAGAACACTGTGTGAACTCTACTGGAATTTATTTTAAAAACATAAAGTAACACCGAATGAATGAGTGAGTGAACGGACCCCAGGGCTTCTCGCGCCTGCAGGAACAGGAGCGTGCAAACCGGCCAGGTGCCTCTGCCAGCCCAGCTCAGCCAGACCTGAACCCGCAGCCACGGGGCCGACGGGCGGCGGTGGCCCCGTGAAGACAGAGCCGCCCACCCCCAGCGTGTGCTGGTGCAGACAGGGCAGGGCGGCCCGCGACATGACCCCTCACGGAGCAGCCTCCACAAGGGCCACCAGAGGAAAAAGACAGCGGGCTGAGGACGGGAGCGGGCGCACTTTCCTCCTCCGGCCTCTGCCCTGACCTCGCCCCTCCACGGGGCCCCCAGACTGAGTGCTCACTCCAGCACCCCCAGACCCCTCGCACACAGCCTGAGACCCGTCTCCAGCATGTCTGGATGAGCTTTCCTTCATCGGTTTCATGCGCCTCCACCATCTGTCCCCAAGAGCCTGCAGGTCTGAGAGCAGGGGCTGAACTCTCCCTCCCACTGCCTTCTCTGTCCCGCCCAGAACTGCTCAAGAGCACAGGCCCGTTCTGTCTGAGGGTCCCACCGACGGATGCGGGGGACAGACACCCGGCCCCCGGGGGTAGGAATGAGCCGCCCAGCCTGGGTCACCCTGCTGCTGTCCCGTCTTTGTCAGGAAGGACCAGAGCCTAGGAAATGTTGTGGCCCTGACGAATAAAAGGTCATCATCCTTAATATGTAAAGAACTTCTACAAATCAACAAGAAACCTCGAATGCCTGGTATGCCACAGTGCCAGAGCTTCTGTTCTGAAAGATTTCATACCTCATGTGGGTTTCCAGCCACCACAGCCCCCATCTCCCTGGAACACAAAGAAAGGAGAAAAACAAATATGGTAAGTAAACAGGACAGCTGACCGAGTTCTTTCAGGAAGCATTTTACTTTTCTGAAGCATTGGCTTCCCACCCAAGACCCTCAGTCCCTACTAGCACCAAACTGCACGGACTGAATCTTGACCCACATCCCTCCCTTCTCCCCGCAGTCCCCACCCCCCCAGGGTTTGTCACCAGACCCTTCATGAAACCTGAAATGTTTGCCCTGGTGGCCCTACTCGGGGAATTCTCTCACCACCTGGTCACTCCTCCCCAGGAGACCCAGCTCCGTGAATCCCTATAGACACTGCCTCTGGACAATGAGCCAGCAAGCCCACAGGCCGTGTGTGCACGCAAACCCGTACGTGGTGTGTGGTGTAAGTGCGTGTGCGGTGTATGTTGTATGCATGTATGTGTGGAGTGTGTGGGGGGTGCACATGGGTGTGCATGTGTGTGGTGTGTGCACTCATGTGTATGTGTGTGTGGCATGTGTGTGTGTGTGCACTTGTGTGGTATGTGTGTGTATTGTGTGGTGTGCATGCATGTGTGTGTGATATGTGCAGTGTGTGCCTGTGTGCAGTATGTGTGGTGTATATGTGTGATATGTGCATGTGTGTGGCATGTGAGTGCATGGGTGTGTGTGTGGCGTGTGCACGCCTGTGTGTGGTGCGTGTGCATGGGTGTGTTGCAGCTTGTGCATGTGCACGCATGTGTGTTCATGGGTGTGGTGTGTGTGCATGGGTATGTGTGCAGCGTGTGCATGTGAGTGCATGGGTATGTGCAGGTGTGTGGTGCGTGTGCATGTGAGTGCATGAGTGTGGTGCATGTGCATGGGTATGTGCGGAGGAGGCGGTGACCCCTCTGGATCCCACTCCCTGGGCTCAGGGATCATCCCTGCTGGAGGAAAGCCCTCTGCCCAGCCTCGACCTGTTGGGAGCCAAGAGCCTGGTGTCCCATAGATCCACAGGGGAGGGAAGGGGACACCGAGCGAAGGACCCGTGGGAACAGGGAATTTTACAGATTCCGTCTGGGCCACGGCGGCTGTGACCCAGGCCCTGCACCTGCCAGGCCACACGTGCCCCCGGCCCCCAGCACCGCAGGAGGACAGGATACACACAGGGCCTTCTTGGCCTTCCATGAGAAGAGCCTCAGGCAGAATTCTCCGTCCTGGAAGGGCTTGAAGGTGGATGGCACGATCAGGTACTCCCCCGGCGTCAGCTGCAGCCAGCCGGACACCTCCCGCAGGTTGGCGTGGGTGCTGGAGCGCACGCAGGGCTGGCGGCCCAGGAAGAAGTTCCGGCCCAGGGGCGTGTCTGTGTGGCCCTGAAGCTGCACAAAGCAGGGCAGGGCGAGTGTCCCTTGGAATCGTGGAAGACGGCGGCTCCAGAGTGTGGTCCTATGCTCCGATTTGGGGATGGCTGATTTTTAATGCCGGGCTACGAACTGGGAGGCCTTGGGTTCTGCTGAGGATGCGCCCGTGTCCCCCAGAGGGTGTATTTGGGCACTTCTGGCACCAGGCCCCGTGTGTGAGACACCAACCCTGTTGATGCCACGGTGACCGGCCCCTTGCCCCCTCCCCGGTTAAGCGAAGGGCCGCAGAGCAGGGTCTCGGGTGCACACTGCGCTCCTCGCTGGGGATCTCCCTCACGAACCCCACTACTGATCCCGCAGACCCTTCTCTGAGGCTGTAACTGGGCGGCCCTGAGCCCCCAGCTCGGGCCTGAGGCTGGGGGGTGAGCTGAAATCCTGCTCCTCAAGCCAAAGCAGCCAGAAGGGTCCGTTTGCCTCTGCTTCTGGGAAACCGTTTGCAAGTGGAGGGCCAGTCGTCTGGGAGGCCCCCCAGGCGCCCCGCGGCCCCTCTGCTTGGTGTTGGGAGGGGCTGGTGTGTGACGCAGGCTAATTAGTGAGTGCAGGGTGCCCGGGCTGTCATTTCGGTGACTAAGCCTCCCGTGGTGCTGTGTCTTTACGACCAATCTTCCTCAAGCTGCCTGCGTCAGAGGGCGGGTGCTGAAAAGCCTCAGGGCCGTGGCTTCTGTGTGACCTGGAACGCCCACCCCAGAGGGGATGGCATCCATCCACGGTCACCAGACCTGCTTTGGATCGCAGGTCTGCTAAGCGGAGGAGGAAAGTGGGGCCACCTGCCCCCAGCGCCCCTGCCGGGCGGGACTGCACGAAAATCTCCAGCCAGTTCCTGCTGACCTAGGTCCAAGGGCAGCCAGTGTGCTTAGGCCCCCCGCAGACTTCCATATTCTGGGCAGGAGACTTCTAGAGGGGCGGCCAGCAGGGGTCCCGCCAAGGGCGAGGTGTTAGGGAGCTACTACCATTCTTGCCATCCCTGACTCAGCTGGGGGGGGCAGGGGACCCCAGGAACAGGCACTCAGTAGAGGTGAAGCAGGAAGCACACTCTCTCCACGGGAAAGAGGCTCACAGTTCCAGCAAGGTCCCCGGTGCGGCAGATTAGAGAGCCCTGTTTGGGGGCCCGCATGGAACTGGAGGCAAGAAGGGGTCCCTCCATCCTTCCAGGGGCCCCACCAGGCCCCCGACCCACAACCTGTCTCGGCAAGGCCCAGCCGGAAGCGACAATGCAGGGTTGGGCAGGGTCAGAGGCAGGTGGCCCCCAAGGTGTGGGCCCAGGGCCGGCCCGAGCGTCCTGGGGGACGTGTTAGGAGTGCAGGGTCTCAGGTCCCACCCCAGCCCCATGGCACCGGGAACTCTGGGGCTGACCACCAGCTTTCAGAAGCCCGGGGTCCCTGGCGCAGCAGCTGGGGAGCTGCTGACGGTGCACAGGACCCACAGTGACGCGTGTGGGGCCCCGGGAAGCACACCGTGTGTGCGTGTGATCGCTGTCTCACACACAGGGGACATTTCTGATGGGAACCACCACCCCAGACGTGACACAGATTTGGATTATTTTCTCGTAGCGAAGAAGTGTGCGCTCCCCATCATCCGTATTGCTTCCACGTGAGCTCTATAACCAGTGATGTGTGTTTGGGAGCCAGCCGGCAGGCGGCCCACAGCACCGACGGGGTCCTGAGAACGTGGGACCCCGTCGGCATGTGCCACACAGCTGGCAAATCTGGGAAAGCGTGAGGACCCAGCGATGCCGCGGGGAAGACGCACCTCCACGTCATTAACACAGTCGACCCCAGAGGGCCCCCACCATGGACCAGGGGTTCCCAACCTCGACTGCACGCCAGAATCACCCCCGAGATTGTGCAGCGACACGTCTGGGATGCAGCCTGCACACCCGGCATGTCCACCCTGCAGCCACGGAGGGGCTTGCTGGAGAGGCTGGCTCGCACGTGGCCTGACTTAGTGCAAGCCGGGCTGGGCCCCGCTCCCCCCGAAAGCACTGTCTGTCAGGGGTTCTCCCTTCAACCAGCCAGGTACAGAGGCAGCTAGGGGGCATCAGCAGGAAACCCCAGATGTTAAGTGGGACAGGACAGTGTGTCACCGAGGAGACACGGAAGGGGCCGGAGCCAATCAGATCAAGCGGCCCTTCCTTTTCTTGTCAGAGAGCAGGGCATTCGTTCCTGTCTCCAGATAGAGGAGCCTGGGCACACTGTAACCGCCTGGTTCCGAGCAAACCACCAGGCACACGGGCGCGAAGGTCACCACTGTCCCCTCCCGGGGGGCCTCGGGGTGGGACCCAGCATCGTCTGTGCCACCTGCCAGGGTCACTGGCTCACCGGATTGTGTGGGAGAACCAGCTTCCCTCCGAGGAAGCAGCCCCTGTGGTGTGCCTGCCCCCGAAGGCCGCCAAGCCACATCCTCACGAAGGAGAACGAGGCCTCGGCCAGCGCTCACGTACCTCTCTGGGGACCTGCGAAGCAGAAGGAAAGAGCAGGTCACAAGTGACGGCGAGGCCCGCCCTCTGTGCCCGGCAACCCTCCCCACATCATGCAGACAGACTGTCCTGGGTGAACTCTGAGGCCGTCTGAGACCAGTGCACCCTAGAAGTCTGAAGGGGGAAAGGGGCTGGTTTTTTACTTTATTTTCCAGTTGTGTGATCGGCGAGGACCCCACATTCCTGGGGGGCTTGATGAGAGCTAATATCTCACAGACCTGCATGCCTGCACCCAAACCCAGAGCGGCAAGGCCCGTGGAAGGAAATGCAGGATCCTGAGCCCGGGGAACAGGCCTGAGCCGGTCGTCACAGCAGCAAGATGATGGGGGCCAGGGAGTGGGACAGACACGCAGGCCTCCTCAGCCTACGGGGCATCAAGGCTGCTCCCCAGTTGGTGACAGGCTTTCAACCGACCCAGCTCTCCAGACTGCGGACATCCAGAGCCTTAGGAGTCAGTTAGGGGGTCATGGAACCATGCCCCCTATGACCCTAGGTGCTCCCTACGACCCCAGGTGCCCCCCGCAACCTCAGGTGCCCCCCTACAACCAGGTGCTTTCTATAAACCCAGGTGCTCCCCACGACCCCAGGTGCCCCCTATGACTCCAGGTGCCCCCTACGACCCCAGGTGCTCCCTATGACCCCAGGTGCCCCCCTACAACCAGGTGCTTCCTACAAACCCAGGTGCCCCCCATGACCCCAAGCGCCCCCACAACCCCAGGTGCCCCCCTACAACCCCAGGTGCCCCCTACAACCAGGTGCTTCCTACAAACCCAAGTGCCCCCCCATGACCCTAGGTGCCCCCACAACCCCAGGTGCCCCCCTACAACCCCAGGTGCTTCCTCTGACCCCAGGTGCCCCCCTACAACCAGGTGCTTCCTACAAACCCAGGTGCTCCCCATGACCCCAGGTGCCCCCCTACAACCCCAGATGCTTCCTATGACCCTAGGTGCCCCCCTACGAACCCAGGTGCCCCCATGGCCCCAGGTGCCCCCATACAACAGGTGCTTCTTACAAACCCAGGTGCCCCTCACAACCCCAGGTGCCCCCTATGACTCAAGGTGCCCCCCTATGACCCCAGGTGCTCCTATGACCCCAAGTGCCCCCTACAACCCAAAGGTGCCCCCCTACAACCAGGTGCTTCCTACAAACCCCAGGTGCCCCCCTGACCCTAGGTGCCCCCACAACCCCAGGTGCCCCCTATGACTCCAGGTGCCCCCCACAACCCCAGGTGCTCCCTATGACCCCAGGTGCCCCCCTACAACCAGGTGCTTCCTATAAACCCAGGTGCCCCCTATGACTCAAGGTGCCCCCTATGACCCCAGGTTCTCCCTATGACCCCAGGTTCTCCCTATGACCCCAGGTGACCCCTATGATCCCAGGCTATGACCCAGGTGCCCCCCTATGACCCCAGGTGCCCCCCTATGACCTGGTGCTCCCCTATGACCCCAGGTTCTCCCTACGACCCCAGATGCCCCCTATCACCCCAGGTGGCCCCTATGACCCCAGGTGCCCCCCTATGACCCAGGTGCCCCCCTATCACCCCAGGTGCCCCCTTATCACCCCAGGTGCCCCCTATCACCCCAGGTGCCCCCTATGACCTGGTGCTCCCCTATGACCCCAGGTTCTCCCTACGACCCCAGATCCCCCTATCACCCCAGGTGGCCCTTATGACCCCAGGTGCCCCCCTATGACTCAGGTGCCCCCTATCACCCCAGGTGCCCATCTATGACCCAGGTGCCCCCCATGACCCCAGGTGCCCCATGACCCAGGTGCCCCCCATGACCCCAGGTGCCCCCCTATGACCCCAGGTGCCCCCTATGACTCCAGGTGCCCCCTATTACCCTAGGTGGATGCTCACAAAAGCACGCAGAGCGCCTTCCTGGGCTTGGTCCCCGCGAGCAGGGTCTGGTCTGATGCTACCACGCTCTAGGTGGGGTGGAAGGGCCAAGCTCGGGGAGAACTGAGGTTATTTGAAATCCCTTTCTCCCGCCATCAAGCCGGGATTATGTTTCAGCATGCATTCTTCCATGATGAGAGACGCACGTACCACAGCCTGAACTCTAAAGCCGTAAGTTCCAAGAGAGGCGAAGGGAAGGGCCCGGACATGGTATGGGCTTGGCAACTGGTTTCTTATCACAACACTTCTTTTTCATGCATTAATTTACACCGAGATGTTGGGTCTCCATCCGCTCTTGTTCTTCCCAATTAAAATTTTATTTTTCTCAAGAAATTAATTCTTCACAAAATTACATAAAAACAACTGCCACGAATCCCTCTGGAATTTGTTATAAGGAGCCTTTGTCTGTATAAAAAGTGAATTGTGATTTGTTCCTGGCTGGGCTTGTCAGGCCCCAAAGGGCTTGCTTTACCATATTTGTGAGGCCACAGAGCGTTACCTGCACGCACCGCAGCCTGGGACGGAGCTGCGGTCCCCAAGCCAGGGGCACCCGGACCGAAGGTGGCCGGGTGGCTCCTCACCCCAGCCATACCTGCCTGTGTGTCCCAAGAAGAGTCTCAAGATCGCCCAGGATGGGAGGAAAGGAGAATCTCTGACTCCCATATCCGGCCTCCCTTCCCCTTTTCAAATTCCTCGGGCCCCCGTTCTTGACTCCTGTCCCCTGAGGAGGCTATACTTGGAAAGTCTAAAGAGTACAGTAACCCTGAGCCCTCGAGGACAAGCAAAGTTTAAGGGATTTCGCATCTGAATGTTGTTAACAGCAGAGATATAAATGGTAGAAATGAATCTCTAATGGTGGAATTCAAGTCCCGGGAAAGCCACTGGGAGAGGCATTCACGGGTGCAAGAAGAGTGCTTGATGAGGACCATTCAAGTGATAGCAAAGATGCATGCCGATTCCCGGCCAACACAGTCCAACCAAAGACATCCAGTGTGGGAATGGGTGACCCAGCTCCAGGTACCTTGTAGGCAGCGTAGCCGATGCTGAGCATGACCTGTCCTATTCTCTTTCTGCGCCAACGATTCTTCTGCATCAGACCCAGCAGCACCGTGCAGCAGGGTTCACCGACGCCCCCCCTCCTGGCTGTTATCCCTCTCCTCCAGATGGATTTTGAACTGGGGATTGGTCCAGTAAGTGGCTGGAGGTCGCCGGGAGGTCGCTGGGAGACCGTGGTTTCCCCGAGGGGGGTGACGAGGTGGGAAGAATACAGGGGAAGAGCCTTGGTCACCCCAGAGAACGCGCAGCTGGTGGTAAGCGGGCCTCGGCAAGTCTCCCTTGCAGGGTGGTGGGCATCCCCTCCTCCCCCCCACCCCTTCCACGCACCCACAGACTCATCCCGCAGCATCCCGCGCCATCTGGAAACTTTGCACGGGTCCATCTGATCAACCAGGGGCCCAGACACACTCGACTGGGAATACTCGAGGTCTGATGGCCCCAGGGCTGCCCTGGGACGCTCACAAGTGACCCCCAAGTCTTCCAGGGGAAACGGTTCACGTCCCCAGTTCTCAGCTCCTGGCCCGTAAGACGAGCCCACCTCAGGGAGGGCGATCTCAGGCCGTGAGGGAGTCACGGCCATAGACACAGCCGGTCGGGCGAGCGTCTGTCCCCTGCCCTGGGGGCTGACCCTGTGCCCCTCAGCCAGATGGCTGCAGTGCTGAGACACCGGCCGCCAGGAGGACGTCGCGGGCTGTGCGTGAGGGAGAACAATGGGCAACCAAAAAGCATACACCTGCGGGCATTCTGAAAGACTGCTTCCCTCCAAAGAGGACTTTGAAAACTCTCTTGAAACAGCAACTCCACAAGCCAAAGCACAGAGAGCTCAAAGGGTCGTCGGAGGGCACAACGGGGCTCTAGGACACTCGGGCGGCCGAGCGTCACTGAAGACGCCGGGCCCAGCGGGCATCCACACGCTAGGGCCTCAGCAGGGCCCGGGGGGAGGACAGGCCGGGGTGTCCTCACATCCCCTAAATGAGGTAAAGCGCGGTGAGATAACAAGGCGTGCACAGTGACCAAGAACCACAGGCTGTTAACGAGAATGTTGCTTATTCAATCCCACCTCCCCAGAATCTCCACATCCACATTGTTTATTTGGGGCACGAGTGCGAGGCTTTTAAGGCCAAATCTCTACAGCTTCCCGGGAGACAGGCAGCTCTGCAACCGCACCCCTGCATACGGACACCGTTCCCAAAGGGCAGGCACAACCGCACAGTCAGGCCGCTCCCGACAGCTAGTTGGCCACGCCGATGGGGTCACCACGGAGATTCTGTGCAGATACCTCCGGCGCCCCGACCGCTCCGCGCTCTCAAAGGGATCCATGCCAATTTCCTACCCGCCTTCCAAGCACTCGCTAATGGCGAGCATATTTTAATGTCTCCCAAATGCAACATTACGGCAATCTCTTCATTTTTTGTTTACTCCTTAACAGAGCTGGAGAAGAGAATGAGCCATAAAAATAAAGCCCCCCATTTACAGGACAGCCCTGGTTCACGCGGCACCTCGCACGGGGGCATCAACGCTACGTCCTGAGGGTCAAGCAGCAGAGCTTGGTGGAGGCGTGGGGCTCGGGCTGGACGGGACGAAGGAAGACACGGTGGTCGAGACCCAGCCTGCATGCACGTGGGATTTTATGATGATGCTGAGCGCAGCCCTGCAATGAGCTGCGTCTGGGCAGGCGGCTGGGGAGCTGGGGGTGGAGGGAGCGGGCTCTGCTCTCCTTCATTTCTCCTTAGGGAAGTGGGGTCGGTTTTTCAGGGTCTTCCTCCTGCTGCTGATTCGACCTAAGAGGACCTAAGAGGAGGCTGTGCCAATGCATCAGTGAACTGGGGAGGGTTCCCCACCCAGGGAGACGAGGGCCCCGGGTCAGTGCAGAGACTGGGGTTGCACAGACCATCCTCACCAGGGTGTGGCTCCCGTGGCAGTGGGGAGTGGCCATCCCGGAGCCCCGGCTCAGGCCCCCCACCCCCACCCCCACGGCTCGGGCGCACAGGCTTAGCACAGTGCCGGCTACCGAAGCAGCAGAGCGTCTGGGGCTGGGGGGGACACGCGTCCGCCAGGGGCTGGGAGAAGCCCAAGAAAGGAGCACGGTGAGTACAAGGAAGCGCGTCCTTGAGGGGCAAGGCAGATGGGGGAAGCGTGAACGCACTGGACACACAGAAGCTACAGAACGATGTTCCCTGAGCCACTGTCCACCCTGCCGCCCTGGCCTCCAAGCCCAGGGAGAAGTGCGGCCCCCGAGGGACGCCAGGAGACAGCGAACAGGCCGAGGCATTGCCCAGCTCAGGGAGGACAGGCCAGAGGGACTTGGGGCCCCGCAGCCCTCCCTCTGCCTCACCTGGGAAGTTGGAGCGGCCCCCGGCGGTGGAGCCCTGAGTCCAGCGGCTGTTGAACAGGACCAGGTCCCATTTGTGCAGCTCCTCGCTGCTCAGGGAGTCCAGGAACAAGTTGCAGATCTCCAGCCGAGAGAACTGCCCCAAGAAATCCAAAAATGACATCCTGGGGGCAGAAGACCAGGGTTCTGGGTCCACAGGGCAGGCTCCAGGAGAAAGGAGGGTGTGCCTACCGGGCCCAGCACGGAGCAAGGGGCCAGCTCTGACCCTGTCCACGTCCGCGGGGTCGCTGTCCCAGTCCCTGGCTACTGTTGGCATCTCCATTTTATAAGAGAGCCCCCCTGCACGGCGGAGGGACGGAACAGTAAACAGGCACTGCCTCCGGGGTCGGGCACCTTGGAGCCTGCAGAGGTGTCCTCCAATTGAACTCTGCCCAGCAGAGATGGCCCTAGTCCATGTCACGCTCAAGGGGCGTCCCTGTCATCAGTCCTAGCCCCCCTGCAAAGGAAGTCACCCTGTCTCGGGGCTAAGCCCAGCTTGGCGAGATAGGAGTGGTGCTCTGCCTCAGTGGATGGAGGCGGGGACGTGAACACATGGAGGCCCCGAGGTTGGACCACACGAGGGTAACGGGGGAGAAGAAGGACGCCCCCAGAGGGAGCCACATCGAGTTCCTGAACCCCTGGAGACACGCTGCCCCTGGCCACCTCAAAGGATGGCTCCCACCGACAGGGCTCACCAGAACTCGCCATCCTCCGCTTTCTTGTCCAGCTCCGCCTTCTGCCTGGAATCTATGTCATTCCACTCTGGGGCACTGGGGGAAATCGCAAAATTAGAATCTTTGAAAAGCGAAGCAAAGGTAGTCATTCGTGAAAGGCTTGCTGCAACACACGCTCTTTCCCACAGCTAGACGTCCCCCTGAGGAACGAGATGGACACGAGCCAGACCCCAGTGGGCGGGGGGGGACAGATGGGGGGACACACGCCCGGGAGGGACGTGGACCGATGACATGAACCCCAGTTGTGCCGCTGGGACGTGGCCCTAATTTCACTCCCAGGGAGGCTTCCATTTCTAGTTGAGACTCCCAGGCCCCAAGGACAGGATGGTGGATCCAAGAGAGGAGGCATGACAGTGCCTGCCGGGCGTGCACCCCCACGTCCACGGGCAGGTCGTCGTTCTGGATCATTGGTCAGGTGAGGATCTTGGGGGAGTCGGACCCTCTCTGGGCACACACACACCGTCCACTTCCCAAGCCACCAGCAAAGGCCATCAGGCCCAGTGGGGCAGCAATTTCCCTGAAGTCGTGTCACCCGAGAGGCCTCGTGCTGTGGCCTTTCCGTGGCCATGCCCAAATACTTCATTCAAATGTCATCTCCGGCCGCCTGACCTTTACCAAGCTAGGTCTCCTGAAATACGTGTGCAGCATCTAGGAACCGAGCAGGATCAAGAAGTCCCTTCTCCGGATGCCTTCAGCAACCCGCAAGCCCTCCCCTCCCCGTGTGAAACCCCGGCCGTGTGGGACGAAGGGGTCACACAGAAGGGCACCCAGGACCCCTTCAACTCATGGAAACATTCATCCAACAAACCCAAATCTCAGAACGTGCTTGTTATAAACAAAGCGTAGGGACAAGCTGGAGAATTCTGGATCTGACCTAAATCTCCCAATTGGTTTTTGAACCTAAAAAAAATCTAAATCGTTTAATTTAACTGGACGTTGGGCTGACTTTGGGGTGTGGCTCAGAGACGCAGGGTCCTCCTGCCTGACCAGCTGCTACAGAAATGGCCCCGGTCCTCTCCCGCCCCCACCACTGCCCCCCTCACACCTGCCCCAGCCTCCCAGAGACGTGGGGGGTGGGAGGAGCTCGTCAGGGAAGGAGATGGGGTCACAGAAGCCCTCTGGGCAGCTTGCTAGCCAGCTGTCAGCTGAAACGGCCAAAACTTAGAGTGTCAATTTTGTTCGGCCGGGACCCCCTTTCTGGGCAGTTGCCAGAACACAGGTTTTAGGTTTTGCTCCAACTTGGACAACGGAATCAGCCTCTGTGGCCCTAGGGAACCACGTCTCTCCGTGGCGCACACCTGAAGGGAAGTGCGCGGTGGTGGGCAGTGGTGGGCAACATGGCCGCACGTGATGAAGCCCCCTCCCAGGGCCCTTGCGCCATCGAGGAGCATGGGCAGTGCGGGGCGGCTCCCGCGAGGTTAGGGACCTATTGAGACGGTTATATTCCCATTTCCCAGGCGGGAGGCCTGCGGGACGAGATCCTGTCTGGCCCTTCATGACCTTGTCGGGAGAGCAAGCGTCGGGTCCTGAGCCAGGGCGCCACGCCCGTCCACCCACCGCTGTCTACCGCCAGCCGGCCCCTGGAGTCGGATCCTAAGCTGGGCGCTGGGGGGCTTGGTGTTTGTCAGAGACCAGGGTCTGTGCGGTGGGAGGCGTCCGATCACCCCGGTGTGGCAGGTGGGAAACAGGCAAACCTTCCAGAGACGGAGCGGCCAAACCTGCCAACGCCAAGGATACGCCTGGAGGCCAAGAATCCAGAGCGCGAGCTCTGCCTTTCTCAGCGGGACCCACGCGGTTCCGCTTCCTGGACAGCCGACTTCCTCGGAAAGCGCGGCCACGCTCACGTGCCACGGGTCTCCGCAGGACCGTGTTTTGCGTGACGCCTTTCCGCAGGGGGACGCGGGGACAGGGAGAAAGAACCTACTCGTCACTCCAGGCCCCCGTCCACTCCACTTCGCCCCACGGGTTCCGGAGTCTGATCAGCTTCTCAGAACGGCCCCGGAAATCCACCTGCAAGGTCCACACGCGGAAGCC